CAAGCTTGGGTTGCCTCGTTGATTGGCCTTCTCAGATGTCACAAAATGTTTGAGATATGCGTACGCATGCGCACAAACGTTATAAAAAATATTTATACTTTTAGGTTACTTAATTGATGTAATTATATTTACTGTAATTAGTAATCTTGAATTAATTATTAATTGTTTAAATTATATTGATTGTGTAAAAAAATTCTACATTATCAGTGTATCTAACTTATAATCGTCCAGAAAATATTAATATGGACGGAAATTAAAAAAAATGTTCTGATTATTCACTATGAAGATTGATTTATTCGATCACTATTTGGTGATTTTATATATATATATATATATATATATTAAAAGCACGAAGGCCCTTTGCAAAATGCTTTCGTCTTTTTTGTCCTAAGTGTTTATGTTGGATTAAATTGTAATATGTAAATACAACAAACCAAAATTATCGAAATTGAACCAGCATAGGATTCTTTTACCAAAAGCAATTACGCTCACTTTAGATTTAGGATTCTTCTTCCAAAATTTGCGCAGCAATTAATACTGTAGAACTAGGATTTTTTTAATAAAATTTCTGTATAATGTTACTTTATAGTCTTAAAGGACCGCCAGTTAATATCTCCATTTTAATCTTCATTGGACGAAATTTCTTTCAAGACGGTTTCGTCTTCCCCCATAGTAAGCAACCACAATCACATAGGTAATTTTTGGTCTCTCTCTTTTCCTTGCTTTTCGTTCTGTTCTACATAATATATTTGTATATTTTTTTTCTTTTGTTTTGGATATTCTTGAACTTAAATGATATGAAATCTAATTCGTAGGAGTACTTTCAAAATTACTTCAGGGATGGATGTGTTGCTAGACGAGATTAAAGGTCAAAACGAACTCAAATCATTTGATATTTGAGGGTTTAGAAAAAATATCGAACCTTTGAATTCAAAGGTCTTTGAGTTGAGAGTAAAAGAGACAAAATATTTATCAAAAAAAAAAAATAGTTGTTCTTTGACTTTTTATTGTATTTCTTATTCTGTGATGGCTGTTTACAAAGGTGGGGGTGGTGTTGGGAGCTAGGTTGGGAGATTTAACTTGGATATTTTAGCTTATATCTATGGCACTGAAAAGCAAGAAAAGTTTTGTCATTTCAGTTTACGCAAAACCAAGTAAGCCACATATCAAACTATGCAGAAGCCCAACAAATTTGTGATATCCTCTATTGATTTTGTGACGTCAAGATGCACTTTAATAAAGCTATTGGATATTAATAATCCTCAATTAACATTTTAATGGTAAATCATCTTTTAATTTTGTGATGTCAATATACATTCTGATGATACTATTAGTTATAAATACTATACTATTAATATTCTCATTCGTTTCACATAATTTATTCATGCTATTCTTGGGACGTACACTCCTTAGTTTAATAAACTCTTATTTTTTGCTTGATTATATAATAAGCTTTCTTTGAATGATAGGGATGTTATGATCTTCATTTGTCAGTAAACTACGTTGGTGGACTATTATAACTTGAAAAAACAGACGTATGACATATCAAGGTAATATAATACATGTTAGGAAGCTATTCTGGTTGAGTGCAATTGCCCAAGAACTGGTTGCCAAATTAAAAGAACAAATTCTGTTATGGTAATTATGTTATGTTGAGTTTAAAAACTAAAATACATGTTATCAGGGATAACTTTTAATATTAATTAGAATGTTCTTTGCAGTTAATCATCATTTGTTATATATATATATATATATATATATATATATATATATATATATATATATATATATATAAGTTAGCTCTGCTAAGTTAATGCAAATGGTTGAATTTTATTTTTACCACATAATGTCATACATTTCATAGCAAATCTAGAAAGTTTAAAAGTCTGATACTATAATCATACAATTTCTAGATAAACAACATATTTCAAGAGTATTTTTATCTAATTTTGTTCAATCTAACCAGTAAAGTTTTAGTACCCACCTTATTATTATTATTATTATTATTATTATTATTATTATTATTATTATTATTATTACCCACTTTGTTTTTTAACAAGGTTTGTTTCTACTATTAGTCGCACTACATAGGAATAAAAAATGATATATTTATGTAATCGTCACGCACAGATGAAGAAATTTAGAAAGAAATTTTTAGGTAGAATAAGATACAATCAAATATTTTTAAGGATTGTTTCTACGTACGAATTTGGATGCCTTGTGTGATACAAAGGGATTTATAGGATAAAGTTACAAGTTTCAGCACTCTCATAAATTAAATAACATGTGGGGAAAGAGTTTTTTAATAAAATGTCATACAAATTTTTTATAATAATTAACATCAAATATATATGTGTCCAAGAGGACGTGAAGGTGCGAGATCTTTTTATATTTCTATCAGGGTCCGCTTATATAATATTTTTGTATGATGAAGCAAATATCGGAACAAACTGAAGTAAGAACCATTCAACTCGAATTCCTAAAAATAATTAACTGTAACGACCCGACCGGTCGTTTTGAGCATTTGCACTTCATTTGATAGTTTGAGGCACGAGTAGCTCCGTATAGTGTATTATGACTTATGTGCAAAATTTGAGTTCATACCGAGTTGATTTGATATGTTTCGGCGTGAGTTTTTGGAAGTCGAAAGTTCATTAAGTTTGATTTGAGGTGCGTTTCGTTGTTTCAATGTTGTTATGCGTGAATTGAGGCCTCAAGTAGGTTTGTATTATGTTATGGAACTTGTTGGTATGATCGTACGGGGTCCTGAGGGGCTCCGGTGAGTTTTGGATAGGTTTGGGTTGTGTTGCGCTCGTTTTTCTTATTTTTTCGACGTCGTTTCTTCAAACATAAATGGTACCACATTGAACAAATAAGCTCCGATATCTATTTTGATTGAAATATTAGATCTGTATCATAATTACAGAGCCATAGAAAAAAGAATCGTTGAAGTTGGACATCGTATGAGGATTTCATGGTCATTTTACTAAGAATTGGGTTGCCAGATTTTAAGATTAATTACGAAATTGCCACTGACTTCGTATTTAAAAATGTGCACTATTTCCAAATATTGAAACGAACATATCTCCTTCAATATAAGGTTAAATGAAGTGATTCAAGAGCCTAACTTGACTATAATTTCACAAGGAATCCATTGGAGACATCAAAAGCTAGTTTTGGGGTTGTTTGACACAAGAAACGAAGCAGAACAATGTTAAATCGAGGGTTTTGTTCATTTAACATATTTTGAGTTGGGGAGCTCGGATTTGGGCAATTTTTGGAGAGGATTTTAACCATATGGATTGGGGTAAGTATTCTATACTCGATTCTGGTTATATTTCATGAATCCATCTTCATTTTTGGCATTTGATTGATGATTTCAAAGTGAAATTTGGGGGTTTTGTCTAAAATTTCATAAAGTAAATTTTTGAGTTTTGAACATCGATTCGGAGTCGTATTTCAGTGAAACTAGTATGGTTGGACTCCTAATTGAATGGGTTGTCGGATTTTGTGAGTTTTATCGGGTTCCGAGGCACGAGCCCGGGGTGTGATTTTTGGCTGATTTTGAGTTTTGATTAAGGATTCGATCTTTATCATTTGGAATTAATTCCTTCAGATTTATTTGATGTATTTGAGTTGATTTTGGGTAGTTTAAGCCATTCGGAAGTCACTACGCGCGTGATGGCATTTTTGGAGCATCGCTTGGCTTGCTCGGTATTGGAATTGGCTTGTTTCGAGGTAAGTAACTCTTCTAAACTTAGTGCTGAGGGTATGAAAACCCGAATTACGTGCTATGTGATTGGTGTTGAGGTGACGCACATGTTAGGTAATGGGCTAGTGGGCGTGCACCATGTGAATTGTGACTTCGTCATTTCTGTGGTACTATGTAGTTACCTGATCTTACCTCTAACCATGAAATGTCTACGTACTTGAGCTATTGAGCTGTGATCTATGTTAGACACCATGTCTAGGCTACATGCTTATCCCGTTGGGACCCACTAAGGTCATTTCTGTTGTTGAGTTATTTTCTTTCATTGCTTTATATACTCAGTCATACGCATTCATATGCATATCATATCTCAGTCTCTGTTGTTATTTATTGATACATCATATCATCATTTTTGGGCTAGTTTCATGACATTGTGAGCCCGGGAGAGAGAGACTGGAGAGATTGATGACTGAGTGAGGCCGACAGCCTGATTATGAGGTTATTGATGCTATAGCACGTGAGTTGTCTGTGCGGATTTTAATATTGATACTATAGCACGTGAGTTGTCCATGCGGATTATCATATCCATACTATGGCACGTGAGTTGTCCGTGCAAATTATAGCGCTTGGGCTGTAGGAACCCCTCCCACTACTACAAATAAGACCTTTAGCGGCAATACAAAATGGCTTTAGCGGCAATAATAATAGCCGCTATATCTTTTGCCGGCCATTAGTCTTTTGCCGCTGAAACTGGGGTCGGCAAAGCCTTTAGCAGCTATTCTCGTAAAAGCTGGTAAACGGTATGTGTTATTGCCGCTAAAAGTTATTATCTTTAACGGCAATTAATCACGGCAATTTTAATAGCTACTAAATCCAATCCAAAACGGCTAATTATACTTCTTTAGCGTCCATTATTATAGCCGCTACATTCAAAATAATTGCCGCTAAAAATCGCATCTTTAAGGGCAATTATTTGTGGCAATTATAATGGCTACTAAATCCAATCCAAACGGCTAATTATACTTCTTTAGCATCTATTTTTTATAGCCGCTAAATTTAAAATAATTGCCACTAAAAGTTCACATCTGTAATGGCAATTATTTTATGGCAATTAAAATGGCCATAATATCCCTTCTGAAACAATTTTAGTTTGCCCTTTTAGCTTCCATTCTAATGGCTAATATGTTTAACTAAATTGCCGCTAAAAGTCAATATCTTTAACGACAATTATTTTACATCAATTATAAATTGTTTAGCCACAATTAATAATTGTTACTACATTCATACAGAATTACTCAAATAATAAAATATATTAACATTAATTCAAAAAAAAACATAATGTATCTCATTAATCTTAACAAACAAAAGGAAGTACTAATCAAAAATATTAATATCACAGTAATTTAAAACATAAAAAATATATTGTTTAGACTAAATAGCTAGTGTCATTATATAACTCATCCAGACGAATGATGGGTCTTCAAATGGTTTCCGCAACTTTTCATCATTTTGAACTCTTTCACCAGCTAAATTATTCAACATATAACCTGAAATTATATAATAATTATGTCAAAAGATAAAGTATAATGTGAAAAAATATCTTGAACATTCCATTCAATCAAGAAGCAATACTGAAAACAAGAATTAAACAAATGCTTTGCAAAGTGCAACTAAACGACAACAACATATGTAGATTAACCCCAACCACAATAAGGAAGAGGAAAGCCTCATATCAAAATAACAACTGCATCTAAATGACAGCATCATCTAAAGATGACAACTTGCCAGATGCAACACTTGAAAAAATTTACTACACTGGTTAAACATACCAGCCATTTTTACACAAACTCAAGAACAAAAAAAAATCAGACAAAACAACACCACAAAGGAAATCAGAAAGTCTTTGTAGCTACTGTTATAAAGCAGATTACTGATCAGTTTCTTGCTAAAGAACATGATAGTCATGAGAAAAGTGAAAGAACAATCAATAAAGATCCACGTCAAGATCATTGTCATTTTCCCTATTAAAAAGAAAGAATATAGTACCCTCACCTGAAAAGCAGAAGTCTTTTTGCAAGTGAGTTTAACTTTGCTCTGAATCTTGGCAGATTTTAGGACCTAAAAGTTATTGGCATACAAAAAGCATTCCCCACTCATGTAAATGCAGCTCTGGTCTAAATTAATTAATTGTGAGCTGCCATATCTTAGTTATTTTGAATTCTAGAGTGAAAATGTGTACCAAACAAGGGATTAGTAATACCAAAAGCTAATGCATACATTTTTTTTCTCTAATGCATCCTACAAAACGACTCCTTAGCCTCACTTAACATGCCTGCAGTGCATACACTAAATTAACTACAGATACCGAAAACGTATGAACCTAATATGTGTAAATATGACCCAACAACTTCCAAGTCCAACCCATAAGCTGACCAAAAATTTAACATTCAAATATTCCCCTATAACCTAAATACTTCATAGTAAGGAAGAGTTGACATTAAAAAAAATCGAGAAGAGATTAAAAGGTGCATAATCCTTCTTCATGGAAACCAACTAGACGTATACAGCAACAACAACCAGTGAAATCACACTAGTAGGGTCTGGGGAGGGCAGTGTGTACGCACACCTTACCCCTACCCCGAGGGGGTAGAGAGGCTGTTTTCAAAAGACCCTCCGCAACTAGACATATACAAACATCAGATAGAATTTACCTGGTAGTCGTCAAAACTCCATCTGGTTCAACTATTTCCTTGTGTACATATCTAATTTAAGATGCATATTATTTGGGGGCGCACCAATCCTACCAGGAGAAAAGGGAGCTATTCCATCGACTGTTTCTTCTGGCACATCTGGAAAAAATTTCATAAGCCAATTGTTCAATGTTCTCACATAACCCTTCTGTGCACTCACCCAACAAGAGAATCTCAAAGTCCAGTTCAAAAGCTCATGCTCAAGTTGCAAAGTGGCTTCAAGATGAGCATCACTAAAGTGTTTGTGAGATGAAATGGCGTCTAACCACTTTGCTTCTCCAATGGCTACACATTGGTAGCGATGGCACTCAAGCATGCATTTCCACATTCGACTTAACCTATGCACAAAAATCACAAAAGAGAAACTTAAAAGTTAGAAATAATAGAAAAATGTATTATCAGGGAAGACACAGAAAATTGGCGAGAAAATTTGACGGTTAGTCCTACATCCTAATAAAAAGCAAATTTACTTGGAAAATCAACTATTTTAAGTAGTAACTAAGGTGGCTGACCAAGTAGAAAAAGTATTTGACGAAGTTATCAGCTATGTTGCACGGACTCTCCAAAATGTTGCCGTACCCGTGTCGGATCCTCCAAAAGTTCACTACTTTTGAAGGATCCGACACGCACCCGGCAACATTTGTGGAGAGTCCGAGCAACATAGGTCATCAGCAGAAATACTTCATATGTTTTACTCTCTACAGGTTTTATAGCCCCAAGGATACAAGAAAACAGAACAATATTTTGGACCAAATCATTTCTTGTTTTAAATTATTCAGGTAGATAAGTAGATTATTTTAGCTGATTGCATTAGACAAACACATGCGATGAAGCTGTTAGAGATAAGCTTGTAGAGGAAAAATAAAAACAAAGGCAGAAAGTTCTTCACAATTTCATGCGAAATTTTTAATATGAGAAAACTATTTGTATTTTGTTCATCTAATAGGGTTCAAAAAGTGCACATACCCCTGAATGAGTTCATTCAGTTATGGCCACAACTCTTCATCCCTCAGTCTGTTTATCTTCTCAGAAACTTTATCAACAACCTAAATTGCAATTCTAATATTTGAGGAGAGACTTACAACCAATTTTTTGGTCATGTCAACCTTGTGAGACTCAGCACCCTTTTCAACTAATTGCTTCAGCTTTCGACTTTTCCTTTCATGAAGCACCCTTATCTTCTCCTCAGCCTGCAAACCACAACCGCAATTTCAGAATAACCCAGCAAGGGGAACATATCAAGTATCATGAAAATATACGGTTGATACAACTGCAATCACATAACAACCAAGAAAAGGAAAGATATCATTATCATGCAAATGCACAGTAGATGACATTGGAGAAGAAAGGAGAAAGAGAAAACCCAACATTCTAATCAGATGGAACACCTACAAAACTACTCCATCCGTTTTAATTTATGTGAACCTATTACTATTTGGGGAGTCAAATCAAGTTTTATTTGACCACATTTTTTCGCAAATATATGGATTTGTTAATTATTGTGACTATAGTACTTCTTATGTGGTTACAAAACATGTAAATTTTATTTCAAAATTTTTTTGAAATACTATGTCTGGCTTCGCTCCGAAAATTAGTCAGTTTAACCCTCATACTCCGAAAAGGTTCACAGAACTGAAAAGGAGAGAGTAGCACAAAAAGACTCTCAGAAACCTGCAGAAATTGTCAAAGAAAGGAGCTCTACAATAAACTGAAGGGAAATGCAAGTAACACCTTTTCTTAGGACAAATGGGAAAATGAAAGTAACACTTGCCACAAAAGAAGATACGCTGATCAACCACAACTGTAATTCACAAACCATACATCCATTAAACTGAAACGAATGCCTTTGAGATTAGAAAATTATCTACTCAGACATTAGAAAAGCAACATTACAAGAGTAAAAAGTACACATGAGCAGCACTAGAATTTCTCAATTAGCTCAGGAAAACATGGATTGTCTATAAATTGGCTGCAAACTGATTTTACTTTTATTTCTCCCTTCCAAGGAGAGAAACAAGGATGCATCACAGAAATAATTTCGTTTGGCAGAAACTTCTCCGCTAATTTTTGTCATTCACCAATGTGTATTGCTACTCTTAATTACTTATTTTGTAGGGAATGATTAGGAATGTTCAAAATGGAATTGAAATATAAGGTTGTCTTCCACTACATTTGAGTTCGGAGGCAATCACTTGCTCCATCTAACAACCAAGTTTGCAGAATAGGTTGTTACTGACTGAGACCCAAAAATGACTGCTTTGAGAAGATAAGACATATATAGTTTAATAAAGAAATGGAGGAATGGAATCAACAAAGTGTTGACTTGTACACCGATAGTCAAAATACAATGATTTTTAAAGTGCTGTCAAAATACAATTAGTTCTTAATGACTGATCACCAACATTATAAAATGTGATGGTACCCTGCATCAAATCATTCTTAAGAACAATGCATGTGGTTGGAAAATAGTACAATCCCTTCTCATTCATCAAATTCACTGGATTACCTTAGAAAAGAAACAAAATTGAATAGGGTGCAGGGGCGGGGGATGAACTTTACCATTCATCTGAGAACCTAAAGATGCTTTCTTTTCCAGTCGCCAAATATTCTCAAAAAAGTAGCATCCTGTAATAAGAAGTTAATCATAACTGAGAGGGGGAAGTAAGTGTGTACTATATTATAATTATAATATCGGTTCAAAACTCAGAGGAAAGTCCCAGTAGCAACACAGAGCAAATCAGCACCTTCAAAGAACAAAATTTTCACACTAATAATAGGAGTAGATTTTGCACAACCAAAATCAGAAACAAAAAACATGAATTCAGGTATCTATTTTCAAACAAATCTGAAAAAATAGGAGATCAAGACACCGAAAGAGTGCAGAAGAAAGACAAGGGTAGAAGAATTGAGAAACTTACCTGGCACTACGGCAGGCTGTTGAACAGCGAGTTAGGAACTGATTTACTGTAAATCAATCGACCATCATCAATACAAAATCTACTGTAAATTGATTGGAAGAAGAGAAGTTAATCTACTATAAGTCGATTCTACCGTAAATCGATTGTAAATCAAAGAGAACAGAATTTACCCAGGAAAAAGATGGGTTGTCATTGACGCACTCGCACTGCCGTTGACACACTATAAATCGCACTACCATTAACGCAGCAACGAATTAGGTTTTTCCGGCAGCGAAGTCGATTCAAGAGGGAAATCGATTCTACTGTAAATCGATTGTAAATCGAGGAGAAGAGAATTTACCTGGGAAAAAGGTGGGTTGTCGTTGACGCACTCGCGCTGCCGTTGACGCACTGTAAATCGCAGGACGCAGCAGCCTGTTAGGTTTTTTCAGCAGCGATTTAGAATTGTTTTATTTTTTTTCGTCAACTGGGGTGTAGGTTTTAGTTCTATTGTTTCTAATTGGGGAGGAACATAAGGTTTTAGTTCTTGTTTCTAATTGGGAGGGAAACATAAAGGTATC